TTAAAATACAATATTTTTGTTTAGTTAAATTGATTCGACGTCTTTATTGTACTTTTCTTAAGAATATGGATTGTTGAGGACCTTCACAGACAAAAATTTAATTTTTATTAGAATAAATCATCTTTTCTTAGCGAAATTGTACATAAAGATAGCTGACAATATATTTGAAGTAAACAAAATTTATTTAGTCATAATAGTTTCATTTATTTGGGCTTAAAAATAAAAAGTGCCGACTACTGGGACATGCCGAACTTAGGCACACTTACCCTATGTTTTAATTCTCATATATTCCACATAAAAATTTTTATTTGTTGTATGTACCTCTACTATTTATGCAGAGTCGGCCCAGCCCGACTTTGGCATTTCTGTACTAGATCTAACATTATTTACAAATCGATTGAATCTTACCAGAATTATTAGCAGAATTTTATTATTTCGAATGAAATTTTCTTAAAAACTATTAATCTTAAATATATGGTTTGTTCCGAGATTTATAGTTAAATTTAATGTAGAATATTTGATTTTTTGGCACTTTTTGCCTCAAAGAAAATTTTATGTTACTTTCATCCATCAGCTCGAAAAAAGACTGAGGAACAATTTATCAAAAAAAAAACATTGATGTCCACACTGATAATAAACACATATATTGGTGTTTTGGGGCCAGTTTTAAAATTACTTTCAAGTTTACCTACTTTGCTAACAAACGGCAATAGTTATTGGTTTCAACGAAATAGTCTTTAATTATCAGTTTGCTCCAAAACCATCATTGTTGCCAACCACAACATGCCTGACAGCTACGTCCGTCTTTTGCTTCAAATTTGCCAACTAAATTTCTTCGTTTATTTATATTATTTTAAACATTTTTTCGGGGTATTTGCTTTACTAACTAAAGTTTTGATTTTCATTTTCTTTAGCTTCGTTTTTTGGCAATAGAAGAGGTAAAATGACATTGCATGTTTATGCAATTCCCCGAACTCGTTATATTGCTTTGGGCCGTGAATCAAGTCAAGTGTTTAAATTTGATTTACGTGTTTAAATTAAGCGCGTAGTGGTGCAGTGGTGGTGGTTGACTCTTAGTGGAATACAGATGGAGGTGGTGGTAGCTGCAAAGAGTTGCCATTTTAAAATATCATATTAGATTTTGAATAAGGAATAATTAAAAAAAAAAAAATAAAAATTAAATCGATTATCAGCTAATGTCGAGCATTTTTACATCAAACTTCGATATTTTTTCCATGTATTTATGTGAACAAAATGCAGCTCGCATTTATTATCCGATTGAGATGAACTATTGTAAACAACATTTGTTTGGTCAAAGGTCGAACCCTATTGAAATTGGTAAGAATCGCTTACAATTAGATGTAGCTCCCATATATATCTTCGACCGATTTTAGTTTTTTTTAGTGCATCAGATGGATAATATCAATCAAAAATGAGAATTTTGGCACTTCCGACCAAATTTAGCCTAAAAGCATGTACTTCAGCTTTGGTGAAAACCGGTTCAGATATAGCTATATCTCCCATATATATGTTTCATCCGATTTGGTGTTAAGGTCCCTCACATTCGTAATACAGGGTTGCCACTTTACAACGGATTATTCGCATTGATTTGTATTTGTTCCCGTACAAAATTCAATTGAGGCAAAGAATGTTGCCTGCGGACAAGCCTCGTCGATTGGAATGGGCCCAAATGGCCCAAAGGTCCGTCGAATATCCACAAGAATAATATGTGTTACAATATATCTCATAGATTTCTAAAATACAATTGCGAAAATTTATGAAGGACGTATCAGATTTGGATATAGCTCCCATATATATCTCCGAACGTTTTCACGTTTATTGGGCAGCAGATGATTAATATCAGCCCATATGTAGTGAATTTCGGCACTTCCAACCGAATTCAGTCCAGAAGCAAGTACTTCAAACATGGTGAAGTAATGTTTCACTTTCATCAGTAATGTTTCACGTCAGCCATATGGCTTCAGGGGTATATACCACCTGATACGGCCAAAATGTGTCTCATCGAAATAAAGGGTTTAAATCTCTTTGAACCAAATCGGTTTCAGAACATTCGGAGTAGATCTATGAGTGTCCGTCCGTTGGTCTGTCTGGCTGGTACCATTTGGTTCATACTAGATATATCGCTAGTTATCAGTATATCAAATAGTGAGTGAGTGGAGTGATGGATTGTATCAGACAATTCCTTTTGAAACGTCCTTCACAATGAGTCAAAATTTTAAATAATTATATCTCTCTAAACATTCCCATATTTCTACTAATGCAAGATTTGGTGTAAAGATGATAGATATCGGCCCACTCCTTCTGGTACCTCCCCCACACCGGTTCAAAATTTTGAGTTCATAATAGGAGTAATGAACATCTGATTCCATTCCAAATCCGGCTCATCCCAATACTTATATCAACACAAAATCTAGTGTGAATAAATAATATATCTAAAAAATCGTTCTGGCACCTCCCACACAAAGGGTCAAATTTTTGAATGATTATAACTCCTATAAAATGATATAAAAATCCGATTGGGTTCGATGCTAGCAGATGTCAATATTTCTAGCAACATAAGATGTGGTGTAAATATGAACAAAGCGTTTCTAGAAACACAAGAACTGGTGTAAATATGGAATATATAGGTACCTCCCTCATAGAGGATCAACATATTAGCTACTTATAACCCTCAACGATTCTCTATAAAATAAATTAAGTGTCGTAAAACTAAAAACAACCAAAAAATCCGAAATTTGTGCAACCTCCACCTACCGAGGTCCCCTATTGTCAAGTTTCATCCAATTCAATTAGGAAATGTGGCAAAAACGTTTAAATTACAGAAAATCGGAGGTTCAGTTATATGGGGCTACACCTATTGGTGGTCCTTTACGAAATTTTTTTACAAGGAGAGAACAAAGAACCCCCAAATTGTCAAGTTTCAGCTGATTTAGTTAGATATTGTGGTAGACACATTCTAAATACAGAAAATCTGGAGTTACAGTTATATAGGGGCTACATAAAAAAATAATATATTTTTAAGAAGGATAATATATATATATCTATATATATATATATATATATATATATATATATATATATATATATATATATATATATATATATATATATATTATCCTTCTTAAAAAGCTGTAAATCGAAATTTGTCAAGCCCAATTTGAATTTGCAACCGACAAACTTTTTGTTCACACCATCTCCGTGGCAACCCTTGTAACATTACCGGCACCACAACAACCTCAAGTTCTTCTAATGTATCGTTTTTATTTTCTGCCTGCATCATATTTTCCTTGCTCTTACTGAGCAACGAAAAGAAGAAAAAAAAAGCTGGCAAAGAAACTACTTCTCCCAACCAATGGGGACCAGCAAACAACATTGCGAATCAAGCTGAGGGTAAATACGGGTACCTAAATTGCAATTTATATAACAGTTTGCTTTTTTCCTATCTCCCCCCCCCCCCTCCTCTTCTTCTCGTTTTGGATAGCATTTGCCTTCGACCCCACTTCTAATATTTGCCACCTTTTGAGCTTTGACAGAGGGTGTAAATATTGACAATTTTTTTTTTTAATTTTTTTCGGAACACCAACGACCTGGGCCACCAAATGCTTGAGAAAGAGACCATTTCCAATGGAAGAAAAATTAGTTGCTTGCGGAAAATTGAAAATATTTTTTTTTCATTTTTTTCGTTGCTTTTGGCTTCATTTTCGATTTCATTGGAAATTGCAAATGGTAGTCTGATTTGCTAATCTTTCTTAGAGGGTTGAAATCCAGGGGAAATTTTGGAATTGAAGCGTGGCGGAAGTTGTGAGGAAAAAAACTCAACCCTCTTTGCTAAATAATTTTATTTGATAAATTGATTGATCGATTTGATGCCACTAATTTATCTCACACTCCTATCGAAAAGCCACAGCATAACGACCTGAAAATTGTTTTGAAGATTATGTGGTTTCAAATGGCATTTAAGTTTTTTTTTTTTTTTATTTGAAAGGGGAAAGGGGTTTGTTTTAATTTTCTTGGAAATTAAAATGGATAGGGGAAACTGTTCATTTTCCCAGAATAAAGAGTATCTTAAAAATTCGGAAAAATTATAGTTGGGTTGAATTGTATTCGATTTTTTCCAAAAACAAATTCAAATATCTGTTTTTTTAGAAATTTCAAATCTTTTTTTTTTTGACATCTGTCTCCAATTTTTTTTTTTTTTTTTTTTTTTTTGAACATCTTAGCGACTTTTTCGAATTTTGGAGAAACGATTCTTTAAAAACAACTTTTTCGATATTCGAATAACTTTTTTCGAAATTCGAAAATACAATTTCCCAACCCTCAGCTAAACTTAGCACACTTTTTTCAAAATTCGAAAATTGCAATATTTTTAGACATTCAAAAATAGCGAGTCTGTTTTTTTGAAAATTGTAAAGATTTCGAAAAAATGTTATTGGGATATATAGAGCACAACTCAATACAATTTTTTTTGCAAAATTCGAGAAAATACAATTCTTTTAAAAATTTTCGGAAAAAAATCTCGAATATCTCTGCAATTCAGCACAATTTTTTCGATATTTGAAAATTAAATTTCCTAACTCTCAGCTCAACTGTTTTTTGAAATTAAAAAATTGCAATTCTTTCATAAATTCGAAAATACAGATTTTTTTGCTTTTGAAAAATTCAAGAGGTATGGAAAAAGTGTTATCGGCAGCAACTTTTTTCGAAATCGGAAAGGTACAATTCTCTTAAATTTTTTATCGAAAAAAAAACCGAATATCCCTGCTTTCTAAACAATTTCGAAAGATTTCGCCACAATTGAGGAAAAATTGAATTTTTCGAAATTGGAAAATTGCCCTCACTCTTTGAAAAAAAAAATCGAATATTCCTGCCAATTTTCAAAATTTCAAAAAAACATGGGCCTTAGCACTTTTTTTAGAAAATTCCATAATTACAATTCCAACAGACACTAAATAACACCTTCTCTTTCTTTCTCTTTACAGAAATTGGAATTCCACACCCACACAGGCACTGCCCTCTTCCCTGCCCAATTCTCTCTCAACTATGAATTTGTGGATACCGAACAAGGCGGTGAGCCATGGCCGGGACGCAGGGGAGAAGAACCCGTACCACCATTGTGTTCAAGAGTTTTTCGCAAACGTAAGGGTAACATTCAAGTGCCGCGCAATGTATTCCTCTACGGTCGGGGAGGTGCCAAAAATCTAACCTGCCTCTATCGTTTCGAAGCTGGACCTTCGGAGAGAGTACGTCTCGTGCTGCACAATGTCTCCTTTGGCGAGGGCACAACATGTACCACCGACAATGATCTGCACACTGGCCGACCGAAATGCAATCAACTGGATCCCGACGGCCGCATAACTGAACTGAAACTCTACGATGTACCCTTTAGAGATGTGAAAATACAAATGGGCTGTTTTTGTGATAATTCATCGGCTTTGTACAACAATGCCCCATTGACATTTATTTCAAATTCACGGATAATGGAGCTGACATTTACCGTGTCCAAATTGAATATATCCGAAGATTTTGCCGATGTCAACTTTTTTGCTTCGTATGAATTCAAGCGTGTTAGCGATTGTCGCAAACGTCTGAAATTGAAGGGTGCCGGTGGTGAGGATGAAATCAAATATCCCATGAAATCACAAGATTCCAGTTGTGAAGGCCTCTCGTGGTATATCGAGGCTCAATCGTTGGATAAATCATTATTTGTACAAACCTGGGGTTCCTATCTGCCCGTTGATCCCACCTCAGAGGATGCCATGCGTTGTCATACGAAAAATCGTCTCATGATTTATTCGGGACGTCCACTGAAGCCAATGCGTGTTGTGTGTCCGGCCCAGAGTGGGCCAAGGCCGACATCGTTGCATATATTCTCGGAAGATTGGATGAATGGCCAGCCGCTGTTCAGTAACAAGTGAGTAGTGGAGAAATAAAAAGAACAATTAAATTATTATTTTAAATTTAAATTATTAAAATCACTGACCAAGAAGGAATGACACAAAATTTAACCTCTCAGATTACCAGATTACACATAATGTTTGAGTCATGTATAAAGTGACTTATTCCATATCTTTTTAAAGTATTTTTATTGCATAATTTGAGGCGCTTAAATATACGCTTTAAGTAACATACTCATAGCAAACGTATAAATAAAACCAGTAAAGAAAGTCCTAAAGTCGGGCGGGGCCGATTTTATGATACCCTAAACCACTATGAACACTAAGTAGAGCTTCCGCAAGAAAAGTTTATATTGGGAATTTATGTGAAATAGATCTATGAACCTTATTTCAACTATATCTAATCCTGAAAATCATCAAAATACCGATTATAGGGACCGGACCACCAAATGTACAATTCGGTGAATATAATACATCTATCCAATTCGGTTGACATTACATACCTGGTGGACAGTAACCGTAAAATCGGATGGAAAGTATATAAAAATCTGAACCAATCTCGATCAAATTTGGCAAAGGTATTTTCGAGCTGTATCTGATATTCGGTATCAAATATTCGTGATGTGGAATGCATATTACGTATTTGAGGGACTTTTAAACCAAATCGGATGAAATGTATATGTGGGAGCTATAGCTATATCTGAAACGATTTTCAACAAAATTTAGAGTACTTGCTTCTAGGCTGAATTCCGTCGGAAGTGACAAAATTCTGGCCATTTGTCAGACATTATACGTTTGGTGCACAATAAACCTGATTTCGGATATAGATTTATATGGGAGCTATATCCAAATCTGAATCAATCTAGATAAAATTTGATAGAGGTATTACAGGGCTGTATCTGATATCTGCTACCAAATATTATTCTTGTGGAGCGCATATTACGCATGTAAGGGACTTAAATACCAAATCGGATGAAACATATATATATGGAAGATATAGCTATATCCGAACCGATTTTCGACAAATTTGAAATATTTGTTTCTGAGATGAATTCAGTCAGAACTGCCACGATTCAGTTCATTAAGGCTGATATTAGCCATTTGGTGCACAATAAACCTGATATCGGCTAAAAGATATATATGAGAGCTATAGCTATTTCTTAAACGATTTGATGTACTTGCTGCTACACTGAATTCGTTCGGATGTGCCAAAATTTAGGACTTTTGGACTGATATTGGTCATTTGGTGCACAATTAACTCGAAATCGGTTGAAGATATGCATGGAAGCTATATCCAAATCTGAACCGATCTTGACAAAATTTAGTACACTTATTTCAGAGCAGCAAATTTTAGAATAAGTTTAGATTTGTTCGAATTGGTCACCTTTGACACGAGTTATGACCTTCAAACGGGCAATGAAACCGTCACACGTTGCCCGAAATTTGCTCTGAGGTATTTTGGCCCATTCCTGGCGAAGCGCTTGCTTGAGGGGATCGACACTTTGGTATTTTTTAGTGCCAACCTTGCTTTCCAAAATATTCCAGACACAATAGTCCAACGGATTGGTATCTAGAGATTTTGGTGACCATTGTGCGCTGGAAATGAAGCGAGAAACCTCAATTCGTAACCATTCTTGAGTGGCGGTTGCTTGTCACTTGTGGTTTTCCAGCCAAATATAAAGAAATCACACAATCACGCTTGAATTCCATCACGAATAATTTTTTTTTTTTCTGACGAGTGGCTTAGAAATGACAGCAGTCCGAAGTTGGTTGCAGTTTTTTCATCTCACTCTGTATTTTTTAGCATTGTATTTTGTATAGGGTTGATATAAAGAAACGTTTTTTTTTTTCAGTTCAAAACTTTACGCGAGCTCCCAAAAGTATGCTACATAACGGTGTTTTTCAAATTTTCCAGAAAGATTTTTCTATTTCTCATTAACCTGCCACGCTTTTGAATGTGTTTATGATAAACAGCGCCATTCAAAGCGCCTAAATCAAGTTTTGCGGTTGTTGGTGTGATTTTTAACACAACGTTTTTGTAAAACGATGCAAAATGCCAATGGCTAAATGGCCAAATACCTAACTATAGAAAACCTTGTGGCATTCAATCTTTGGGTCAGGGGTTGGCGGCAAATATGACAGTGGTTTTTCAGAATAAAAAAGTAAATGGAAATTTTTTTTCCAACGGGAAGACACATCTTATAGATGACAAGGCACACTAAATCATTTTATAGTGGTCTAAGAAACAAACAACATTTTAACTAAAACCATTATAATAATTATGGGAAAAGAGGGATAAATTACTCTCCACTACACCAAGTAATATTGCTGCCAAAGTGATTGAAATAACAAATATCGGGTGAAGTACTAATATGGCTATACGAAAAAGTTCGCCTTTTGCGAAGTACAAATTCTTATTTTTGAGATAATTTCGTTGAGAAATGTTGCAAAAATGGGAAAATCCCAAATATCGGATGTTACCATTAGTATAGGGGATATACGATACATATATGGATCTGTTTAGGTAATTTTCTGTCATAGGATTTTAAAAAATTTCAGTTGTATAATTCATTGAAATACCAAATATCTGGAGGTACAATTATATAGGGTCTATTTCAAAACTTGAAACTGCCAAAATGTTTCCTACATACAAGCTACCAATTTACAGTTTATTGTTTGGTTTAAAATTGTGACTATAACACCGAGAATACCTTAAATCAAAGAGTACAGTTATATGGGGACAATACCAAAACAAAGAATTATATGACCCATTTTTATAACCACCCACCCTGCGAACCCCTTGCCGTACCTCACCCACAACAATTTCCAAGGCTTTATCTGTCATAGCTTGCGTAACAATTCAGAATCACTTTCCGAGTCCATTTCTGTTTGTTTGTCGCAGGTCGCATTTATAGTCCGATTGTGATGAAATTTTCCAAACAATATTTGTTTGGCCCAAGGACGAATTCTATTAATATTGGTGATAATCGGATCAGATTTAGGTCATAGCCTAAATATATATCTTCAACCGATATCGGGTTAATTGTGCACCAAATGGCCAATATCTGCCCAAAAGTCCTGAATTTTGTTACATTTAACCGAATTCAGTCTCGAAGCAGGTACATGAAATTTGGAGAAAAACTGTTCAGATATAGCTACAGCTCCCATATACAGGGTTGCCCATATTCGACGGACCCAATTGGCAACGCCATAACTTTTGACAGAGATGTCACATCGCTTAATGACATACCGTGTTTGAAGCGTCAGTCCAAGCAGATTTTTACCATGAACCAATACACGCCACGCGAGCGCCCTGAAATAGTTGAAATTTACATTCAACAGAAGAAGTCAATTGTGAAAACTCAACGTGCTTTTAAAACATTAAAAAATGTGAGAAGTGCGCCTTCTAAGAACACCATTAAGCGTTTATACAAAAAATTCGACGGCAAGGCTCTTTCTAATACGAAGAGGCCATATAAAACCAAGGCGATTGGCCGAGAATATCGCTGCCGTACGAGCCAGTGTTGAGAGGTCCCCAAGAACATCCCGACGCCGTTCTCAGCAGTTGGGCATGGCTCGGTCCACTTTACAACGGATTATTCGCATAGATTTGCATTTGTTCCCGTACAAAATTGACGCAAAGAATGTTGCCTGCGGACAAGCCTCGTCGATTGGAATGGGCCCAAAGGGCCCAAAGGTCCGTCGAATATGGGCAATCCTGTATATATCTTCAACCGATATCGGGTTAATTATGCATCAAATGGCCAATATCTGCCCAAAAGTCCTGAATGTTGGTACATCTAACCGAATTCAGTCTCGAAGCAGGTACATGAAATTTCCTTAAATTCATAATATCCATTCGACAAGAATGTGATTTGGTATCAGATATCTTATAGAGCTTGAAAATGCCTTTGTAAAATTTTATCGAGATGGGCAAAGATTTGGATATAGCTCCTAAATATCCATAATCCGATTTCAGGTTCCTTTTTGTGGAACCCGACACCGATATATATTTATACCCTCCACCATACTATGGAGGGTATATTAATTTTGTCATTAAGTTTGTAACTCCTCGAAATACTCATGTCAGACCCAACAAAGTATATATATTCTTGATCAGCGTAAAATTCTAAGACGATTTAGCCATGTCCGTCTGTGTGTCTGTCTGTCTGTCCGTCTGTCTGTTGTAATCACGCTATCTTTCGAACAAATTGAGATAGAAGGCTAAAATTTTGCACACATGTATATGTTGCCAGTAGGCAGGTTAAGTTCGTAAATGGGTCATGTATGTCCAAGTTATCATATAGCCCCCATATAATGGTACCTCCCGATATTCGGTATTTTGATGATTTTAGCGACATTATTCACCGGAATTGTTTCAAATTTGGCATTTGAAGTTCGTAATGGATACTACAGTCTAAGACAGAAAATTATCTGTACAGGTCCACGTCTTCGTGTAGCCCCCATATAACGGTACCACCCGATATTCGGTATTTTGATGATTTTAGCGACATTATTTACCGGAATCGTTTCAAATTTGGCATTTGAAGTTCGTAATGGATACTACATACTAAGTCAAAAAATGAGCCATGTAGGTCCACGTCTTCATATAGCCCCCATGTAACGGTACCCCCCGATATTCGGTATTTTGATGATTTTAGAGACATTATTTACCGGGATTGTTTCAAATTTCGCATGTGAAGTTCGTAATGGATACTTCAGCCCATGCCAAAAAATTGTCTGTGCAGGTCCACGTCTTCGTGTAGCCCCCATATTCGGTATTTTGATGATTTTAGCTACATTATAAACAGATTTTTCTTCAAGTTTCGCATTTAAATATTGTAATAACCTATGACGAAAGTTGCCTATGCAAGCCCACGTCGTCGTATAAGCATTCGGTATTTTTAAGATTTTAACAGAATTTTTAACGGATTTTATTTTTTGGAAATTGCCAAATTTGTACCAAATGGTGGAGGGTACTAAAAGTTCGGCCCGACCGAACTTACAGCTTTTTTAC